TTCCCCTGTGGCTAGAAAGGAATTAAAAATTTGTGTCAGAGTCCCTGCAACTTCCTGCCTCGCCTTCCACAACAGCCTGGGATGCAATTCATCCAGGCCAGGGATTTGTCTGTTTCTGAGGCGAGTACAGCCTCCAACACCTTCCCGTTTCCTATGTCAAAATGTGCAAGTTCCTTCCAGTCTCTTTTCCTGAAATCCATACCTATGTTCTTCTTTTCCAGAGCGAAGACTGAAGAGAAGTAGTCATTCAACACCCTTCCAATATCCTGCAGCTTTACACAGAGGTCGCCCCGTTGTCCCTAATGGGCCCTAATCTTTCCTTGGTTAACCTCTCTTCCCACTTAATGCATTTATAAAATATCTTAGAATTCTCCCTAATCCTGTTCACAATTCCTTTTTCACGCCCCCCTTTTGGTCTTCTAAATGCTTTCTTGAGTTCCCTCCTGCACTTCCTGTATTCCTCTGGGGCCACAGCTGAACTGCTCCCGGAACTTCTCTTACACACCTCTGTGAACTGTCTACATAATTGCTCCTCTATTTCCGGTTAACTCGTTGGGGGCTTATAATACAGTAAAGTAGCTGCTCCCTTAACATTTCTAAGTTCTACCCACAAAGCCTCATTTGAGAACCCTTCCAACATATCATCTTTCCTTGGTGCAGTACTTGACTCCTTAATTAACCACCACCCTTTTTACACCCTCATCTGTCTCACGCAAAGATCCTATACCCGGAATGTTGAGTTGCCAGTCTAACCCTCCCCTCAACCATGTTTCTGTGATGGCAACAATATCATACCTCCCTGTGTCAATCCATGCCGTTAACTCACCAGTCTTATCAATTAAACTCCTGGCATTAAAGTAAAGACCATCAGCCTTGCCTTACTCTCTTCACACTCAACATAGCTGAACTCACTGTAACATGCTTCCTTTGTTCGATCGGAAGGCCCTTTCAACATTTGACTGATGCTGAAGGATCTGTGATATATGTCCAATTCAAGATGCTCTGCAGCTTGGCTGCTTTCAAATGCACAGAATACCCTTGTTCTTGTACAGAACATATGTCTGGGAAGTGCTGTCAAATTAAACTTGATGAATTGCAGCAGTGCCTGTAGATAATCTGGCAATGCATGAAAACCTAGTATAGTGAAAGTTTTACTTTGTGTATGGTGTCCTGAGAGGGTTTGATGGGGAAAGTGTAGTGGAAGCTTTATTCTGTATTTAACCCCATGCTGTACCTGTCCTGGATGTGTTTCATGGAGATACTGTAGAGGGAGGTTCACTCATTACCTAATGTTATTTTGCTCTTGAGCTCCTCTGTCTAACACTGAAATTCCTCTCTGCCAAAAACCTTGGGCAGGAAGTGACAATAAGGATGTATAAATACTGACTGATCAGAACTGGGGAGATCAAACAATAAAGCTAGAGCCATCTGGCAAATAAAAGCTAAGAACAATCTTACATTGTTTGGAGGATTTGTTATTAATGATTTCATTGACAATCTTGGCCTCTGAGAGTTCCTGTGATCCATTTTGTTCTGCCCTCATTCCGTGACTGACCCTCAATAACAAATGCATTAGATATTTCTCCTGGGGCATTGTTGTGGTGTTAAATCTACAATCACAGCCTCTGCAAAGGTTCCTCTCAATCAGGGTAAGATTGTAAAGATGCAGCAGGTACAGCAGCACCTCTCAATACATTAGAAAGATTGGGAGACTCAATGGCCAAATACTCTGCTGGCTGTGATAATGAGACACCTGGGTTAGATGGCCATCCTTTCCACATCCACCTTGTCAAGACCATTCAGGATCTTATATACTTCAACCAAATCACCCTTCACTTTTCGGAAGTCTTGTGGAAACAAACGACATGACATCTAGCAAATCTTCTTTGAACCATCTCCAATGCATTTACATCTTTCCTTAAATAAGGAGACCAAGACCACACGCCATATTCAAGATGTATTCTCACCAATGCCCTGTATGACTAATGCATAACCTCCTCACTCTTATGTTCAATTCCTCTTGAAATAAAGGATAGAATACCATTATCCTTCTTATGCAACCGTAGCTGCATACTAACATTTTGTGACTCGTGCACTAGAACTCCTAATTCCTCTAGCATCTCGGGAATTCTACAGTTTTTGTTCTCTGTTTAATTTGTTTCTCAGTCCAGAGTGCACTGATTTCCTGGCATGGGAAAAAAAGGAAAAGCTTTCCCCAAGGAAGGAAATGTACAAGTCTGGCCTGTATTCCAAACCCGTGACCACTATGATAGAGAAGGATAAGGGCAATAGATATATGGGAACACCACCAGCTGCAAGCTCCCCTCCAAGCCACACACCTTCCTGACTTCGAACTGTATTCTTCATTGGGTCCACATCTGGAACTCCCTTACTAACAACACAGTGAATGTATCCATATCTGATGGACTGCAGTGGTTCAGTAAAGTGGCTCACCAACACTTTCTCAAGGACAACTAGGGTTTGGCAACCAGTGGTGGCCCAGCCAATGATACCAACATCCAATGAAATAAATGCAGTTCACTCATAAGGGCTAGCTACTTTGCATCAAAATTGAGCAACTAGGGATGGTCAATAAATGTTAACCTTACTAGTAATACTCACATATTAAGAATTAGTGGTTTAAAAATCATTTCTAGAGCAGTACATCAGAGACAAGAGTCATATATGGGATGAGAAGCTAGAAGCAAGCATTGATCCTGCCACATCTCAGAAGGGCTTCAATAATTCCCAACACTACCCATTCAAAACAAAAGCAAAGTACTGCAGAATAAAAACTGAAAGAACTGCAGATGCTGGAAATCAGAAACAAAAACAGGAATTGTTGGAAAAACTCTGTGGGTCTGGCAGCATCTGTGGACAGAAATCAGAGTTAACGTTTCGGATCCAGTGACCCTTCCTCAGAACTGCAGTTAGGAAGGATATTATTAAGCTAGGAAGGGTTCAGAAAAGATTTACCAGGGTGTTGCCGGGAATGGAGGATTTGAATTTCAAGGACAGGCTGAATAGGCTAGGACATTTTTCACTAGAGGTTGAGGGGTGACTTTATAGAAGTTCATAAAATCATGAGGGGCATAGATAAGGTGAATGGCAAATGCTTATTCCCTAGTGTTGGAGATTTTAAGACTAAACGGCATGTTTTTAGTGTGAGAAGAGAAAGATTTAAAAAAGACTTGAGGGGCAATTGTTTTAAAGAGTGGTTCATATGAGGAATTAACTTCCAGAGGAAGTGATGGATACAGGTACAGTTGCAACATTTAGAAGATATTTACAAAAGTACATCAATAAGAAATGTTTGGAATGATGTAGATCAAGCGCAGGCAAGTAGGACGAGTTTAGTTTGTGATTGTTGATGACATGGACTGGTTGGACCAAAGGGTCTGATTCTGTGCTGAATGACTCTATGACTCTATGCTGGCGATCTGAAATAGAAACAGAAAGTGCTTGAGAAACTCAACAGTTTTGGCAGCATCTGTGGAGAGAGAAACAGAGATAATGGTTTGAGGTGAAAATGACTGCTTTTCAAAATCAGAAGACGTCATTTTCTGAAGTTCTAAAGAAGACTTAAACCATTAACTCATTTTCTGTCTCCACAGATGTTACTTGACCTGCTGAGTTTCTCCATCACTTTCTAATTTTGCTTTACTCAAACAATACAAATGCCAGTTTAACTGAGACTGGTGTCTGAGAATCACATGATATTCCAACTGAATCATGGTGATCCAGCTCACTTTTGGCATCTCATGGAGAGTTTTGTTTAACAAATGAACACATTCAAAATTTTCAGTCTGAATGTCAGGTAACAAAAAATTCTGTGCCTCCAACAATTGTTTAGTGTGCGGGGTGATTTTGATCTGTGTGTTGGGTCAGCTGACCCCTGTGTCCTGGTAAACAAAATGATTTTGATCCACAACAGGAGAAGCATGTTTAGCTCCACAAGACTGATATGCCATTCAACCATTGTCCATGCCCAATCTGCACCCAGCTCCATTTACCCAACTTCACCTACAGTCCAACAATAGCAAGCAATCCCCCATCCAGCTATCATACCCTCAATTTGTAAATCCAGGGATTTTGCGCTCTGTTTCAAGCCCAAGCCCCTGTCTTTTGCTGCTCTGTTGGGGTCAGTTGACTCAACACACAGGAGATCAATACCAACTCGCACACTAAACAATCGTTGGAGGCACAGAAATTTTTGTTACCTGACAATCAGACTGAAGATTTTCTGCAGCCTCTAAACAAATGATTCTGAGAAGAAACTAGTGCAGAAAGAACTCTTATTGGACGAAATTTTTTTTAATTAAATCGAGGTGTCGCAAATTGACCTGGAACATGGGTTGGGGGTGGTGGTGGTGAATTCCTATCTAAGTTGAGTTGCCTGGAAATCTGTCCAAAGCTGGGAGACTGGGGACCGAACTGAAGTGTCTTTGAGAGGCTGCGAGAAACAGGCACAGAGTTTAATGAGAAATGCAGAGACACTAGAGGTGACACAGAGACAAGCATATAGACATAGAGATAGTAGGAACTGCAGATGTTGAAGAATCCGAGACAACAAGGTGCAGAGCTGGATGAACACAGCAGGCCAAGCAGCATCAGAGGAGCAAAAAGGCTGACGTTTCGGGCCTAGACCCTTTGGTACACTGACAAAGACAGATTTTAGGATACTGAGAGTGACAGAGAGATGGAAAGATATAGGAACTCAGGAACAGGGATAGGCCATTCGGCCCCTTAAGCATGTACAGGCATTCAATGAGATTATTGACGGCTGATCTGTGACCGAACCACCTTCGGCTCATATCCCTTAATACCTTGGCTGAACAGAAATTTATCTATCTCAGTTATCTAAAATTAACAACTGATGTAGCATCAACTGCCGTTTGTAGTAGACTCTGAGATGCCGGGGAGTCACTGAGAGATATCGAGATTTACAGTAACATGGATTTGGCCGATGGAACTTGAATCCGCCCCTTTAAGGTGTGGCTCACAGATCAGGTATATTCCCGAGAACTCGGCAGCAGAGCAACAAGTCCTCCAGCAGAGTCAGGTACAGTTCCTGGGGAAGGATGGGGGGGGAGGGCGTGGTGGTTTTGAGTGGGGGGTGTTGCCTGTAGGATTTGGGGGACACGGTTTATTTGCGGTGAGGTTGAACTCATCTCCTTTTCCCTGCAGGCAGAGGTTTTGGTCAGAACGCGAATGGCCAACTCGGGTCTCCAGATCCTGGGCTTTGCCCTGGCTTTTTTCGGCTGGATCGGAATCATTGCTAGCACCGCTCTGCCCCAGTGGAAAACCTCGTCTTACGCCGGGGAGAACATCGTGACGGCGCAGGCCATCTATGAAGGACTCTGGATGTCCTGTGTGTCTCAGAGTACCGGGCAGGTCCAGTGTAAAGTCTACGACTCTATGCTGAAACTGCACAGTAAGTGGATGTGGGGGATGGAGAGCAGGCTCCTTCTTTCTCTGTCTAACAGAAGGAAGTTTTCAATGGTTAATAGGAGGCTTTAATATTCCCTTCTACAAGATAATGGTCCGTCTCCTGAAACCCCGGAGACTTTCTGAGTTACTGCAGTGATGGAGAACCCGCACTCTTTCTGCTTTCAGGTCTCTATGCCTTGTCCTGAGGGCTCTCTCACTCTCTTTTTAGCTAACGGGGCGGATTTACCGGGTTTCCCCACGTGAGGAATTTGCCAGGTCCCGGTACGTGCTCCGTTGCCCGTTTGTTTAAAAGTTACTGAATTGTTAATTCCAGTGAAAGCGCTCCAGGCTACACTGTCTCTGTGCGTCTGGATGTGAGGGCAAGTTGTAACTGGTCTACCTGGGGTAGGCGGCCTCTGAAATGTTCCCTTTCTTTCTAAAAGTGTGCGCAAAAAAACAGCATCTGTTTCAGTCCCTTCTCTCGCCCGCAGACTGAAAGAGAGAGAGTTTCTCAATAAAAGGAGAACTGTGACAAAGTTGGTGGAAAAGCTC